ATATGTGTTTCTAATTTATAAATAAAATATGTATAAAATATATCGACTTTCTTTGTCATGAAAAATTAATTTACATGCAAAATATATTGTATTTTTGTAACATACGACATATATATTATTTTATATATTATTCGTAGAATATATTTTGCATATTTCTATTACATTTCCACCGAGAGATACGTTCAGAATTGATCGCAAAATTTTTGATCGATTAAAAATCTTCATCTTGTTATTTAAATATTATAATCTTCTTGTTATTTAAATAAATAAATTAATTGTTTATGATTCGGTTACCGACGGGATATTTACGATCGCAACATTTTCTATAATAATTGTTAATAAATATTTAATGAAGAAGAATTTTATATTAAAATTGATATAGGAAGCTTGTCTGAGGTTCTAGCTACAAGATGCATGCTTAAAAGTACAGAAATTTTCAGTAGAAAACGAGTAATTACTGAATTTTCAATATGGCGTCTTTAACGTATTTGAACGTATAACGCGTTAATTATTAATAATTAAATAAATAAAGAGAATTTCGTATTAAAATTGATATGAGAAAGTTGCCTGGAGTCCTAGCTTCAAACTGCGACCTCAAATGTATCGAAATTTTAAGTAGAAAACGAGTAATTAATGATTTTTCCATGTGGCGTATTTTTAAATGTTCTCTGTCCTTCTCGCACAATGTTGCGTTCCTTCTCTATGACTTCGCATACCTCCTTGCATATCATGTTATGCTAGTAACAAGTCGGAGCTTCGTGAATCCAAACGCGAGATGGCGCCACCGATACTAAATTTTTCTATTTACTGTTTTTTCCTAATTTATCGACAAAATTTGTATACTCTATCGGTATATTGTGAGAAAAATAAGAAGCGCGGCAATTTTATATTTAGAAATACTTATTTGAAAAGTAATGAATGTATGCAAATATAATTTTTTTTTTTTTTAATTGAAAAAACTGAAGAAAGGAAATCTTTTGGAAAAGGAAAAGAAAATAGAATATATAAATATGTAAAAAATATATATATATGTCATAAAAATACAAATATTAATACAATTACAATATAAAATAAAAATATATATAAAATTATAAAATAATTATAAATTTAATATATATAATTATAAAATATATTAAAGTATATAAAAATAATATTGCATACGTAATAAATATGCAATAGAAATACACGAATACTTTTATGGTAAAAATTACAGGGATTTAAATTCAATTTTATTTATTACACGTATAAATTTAAATTCGTATAAATTACAAATTAATTATAATACAAAGACTCTAAAAGAAATCCAATTAAAATTTCTCGAATTACATATTTCTATTCGCATTCTATGACAATGAATGAGCCAGTAATGATAAAGAATACATATTTCAAACAAACGAAACAACATATTTCTCTCAAATTAAGGATCAATTCATTCATCCATCCATCAA